TGTGGCTTGGCGAGTGAGTCTACAGACAGGAGAGAGTGGCGTGTCCCTGGGAGCAGTGGAGACCCCAAGTCTGCCTGCTGCAGCTCTTCTTCTGCATCATTCCTGGTGACAGTCGGTGGAGAACTGTCATTACCGGAAAGGAAGATGCAGTGGCATTCAAGCGTTTGAAATGTAAATACATTTTTTCTCAAAAGGTTAACTAACACAAATGTAAAATTTCAAACCACTAAACTTATTTTTAACAAAATGATTTAAAAAAAAAGGTCACAGAGTGGCAGAATAGATTTTTTAAAAAAGAAGCATCGTGCTCGCTTCGGCAGCACATATACTAAAATTGGAATGATACAGAGAAGATGAGCATGGCCCCTGCGCAAGGATGACACGCAAATTCGTGAAGCGTTCCATATTTAAAAAAAAAAAAAGAAAGAAGCATCATCGTGGAGAGCAAGTGTTTTGAGAATTATGAGGGTAACAAATGTACAAATGTGCTTTATACAATTGATGTATGTATGGATTGTGATAAGAGTTGTATGAGCCACCAATAAAATGATTTTAAAAAACACACATACACACAAAATTATTTTTAACATATTTCAAAGTGTGACTTTCCTTCAAATACATTTGAATTTTTAGGTTGGCATTAACATGAAAGCGATGTTCAATGTGTAGTTAACATATGTCATGTTTAATAAAAATTATGTGGTTTTAAATTTTTCAATGCCATCTTGTAAAAACTCTTAAGAAAAATAGAACCGCTTGAAGCATTGCGTCCCATGTCTCCTCCATTGCTATTACATTTCACCCATGCTATGTCCAGACTTACATATACAGAAATTTAGCAATAATGTAAATCATTTAATACTGTCAAAATGTTCCTTAGCTGCCATAGATAACTGTCGTCTACACTGTGCTAATTCGTGAGAACCCTCAGGACAGGAAAAGAAGAAATCGGTCATACTCCTGCAAGATCTGAGAAGTTCGTTTATCTGTTCTTTCACCTCAGAGCTTCAAACAAACACACACACACACACATCTCTTACATCAGCAGCAGAGATGTTCCTCAGTTCATGTTCTTCTCTTACATCTGGGTACAACCATCCTTGGTTCTGAGGACAGATGGCAAGAGATACCAAGAAATGTTCCCTGGGGTCTGAGCATATTAGAACGTGGACATTCAGGTTTCCAGTCCTGCCAGGCCAGAGCTGAGCCCCAGGTCCTGGGGTGACACAGAAACCCTGTGATCTTAGTAACACATTTGTTTAAAAGCTTCAGGAAACTTCTGAAGCACAGGTCTTGAGCAGGGCCCTCTTGCCCTATTCGAGCGAGGGGCAGTGTTAACCCAATGTGCCAAGACCTTTGCGGCCTGAAAGTGTTTTGCACATGTGCGGCCTTGCGCCCTGGAACACACATTTCCTGGTCTTTGGAACCTTTCAAGTCTCGACTTAAATACCCCTTCCTCAGAGACTCTATCGACCCTCTCAATCCAGACTTGAAGCTCCCTCTCTCAAGGATCCCAGCCCTTTCCCTCCTGGCATTTATCCCAAGTCATAACAGTGAGACCATTGGAATGAATTTGTGTGCTTGTGCTCATTCCTCCCTGTCATTCTCCCAGTGCTGGCCATAGCCCATGGCACACAGTAGGTGCTCTGGAAATATCAGCTGGCTAACTCTCTCTGAGCCTCGTTTCCTCGCCTTTAGAAGCAGGATGTTGATATCTGCCTGATACCTACTCTTGAGAGGGTGAAGACAGAATTGATGCCAGGGGGCTGGCACACAGTAGGTGGTCAATAAATGCTGCTATGAGTGTCATGTGTTCAGAGTCAGGGGATTCTTAGAGTTGGGACTTCACGATTGTTGAAATTTGAGTAGGTTTCCTGGAGTAGAGGAGGCATTCCAGGGGGGAACTTGGCCAACATTGTGGAGGAGAGAAGAGGTAAGGGCAGTAAGTAAACCCATGGGGCTGGGGCAGCCCTACTTAGAAAGGTATATGAGGGGCACATCAGGGAGAGCGCTGAGTGCCAACTCAGCCCATTTAAACTTCCTCCTACAACAGGAAGGTGCCAAAGAATGCTTTTGAGCAGAAGAGTCCACTGGGGAAATAGTGCAGAGAGACGAATTGTGACAACTCTGGTTCAGGGGAGTCAATAAAGGGAAGGAAGGCAAAATGCATTGGCTTCCTTTAGACCCCATCTCTAATCTTTACAACTATAATATATGCAAGGGTGAGCAGCAAATCTCTGACAGCAAACAGACTTGGATTCAAGGCTTGGCTCAGCAAATTTACTCTCTGACTGACACCAGGCAAGTCACTCACTTCCCCGAGCCTCCATTGCTTCACCTGCCAGCTGGAAAGACCCAAATGAAATCAGTAGTGCCTTCAACCCTTCACTTATTCAAAACGGGGCCCTCCATAGAATGACCAGTTACTGAGCCCTTTGTAGGCAGCTTTGTGCCCGGCATCTCATTTAATCGGCACAACATCCCTGCCAGGCACTATTATCAAACCCATTTTACAAATGAGGAGACTGGGGCTCAGAGAGGCTAAGTGGCTTGTAAGGGGCAGTGTTTAGGGCTCGAATGCAGGGCTGGCTCGGGCTGGGGTTGGCCACCCTGCTCCTAGTGTTCGGGCCCAGTCCTCTCCTGAATATGGCTTGAATGTCGGGCTGCTCCGTGCTGCTGTACTGCTGCAGCCATTTTCTAATTATCTTCAGCAAAATTCTGCTTGCGTGTGATATGAATGATATTGTTGGATCATTCGCACACTCCAGTTGGATCATCTTTCTTTGGCATGGGCACCACTGTGGGTCTCTTCCAGTCAGTTGGTTAGGTAGCTATCTCCCAAATTTCTTGGTGGGGGTGAATAATTTAAAAGATAAGACTTCACTGAGATGGATTGACACAGTAGCTACAACATAGATTCAAGCAGAATTACTTATTGTTAGGATGGCTCAGCCCAGGCAACATTTCATTCTGTTACACATGGGGTCACGATGAGCTGGAACTGATTAGAGGGCCCCCCAAAACAACAGTTTTTAGTGCTGGACCTTTGAACACACCAGACCATTTCCTGTCTTTGCTCCTGCTCTTCCCTTGCTGGGTGCCTGACACAAAAAAACAAACCAAACTCCCTGCCATCGAGTCCCTTCCACCTCATAGCTTCCACCTCACAGCGACCCTGTAGGTCACGGTAGAACTGCCCCTGTGGGCTTCTGAGACTGTATCTCCTTACGGCTCCTCCTATTGCTTATCTGTGAAGCTTTGGTTTGGGCTTCAGGAAACCTTCAAGACCCCAGGGTGGACCCCTCCTTATGCTTCTCAGCACTCAACTAACCCCTCCCCATGGCATCAATCATGTGGACAGTAGACCCCAGAACTTATTAAAAATCCTTCCTCCTTCACAGTACAAAATAATTGCAGGCACACCCTCAATACAGAGATACTTCTTCATCAATTGTACATAGATAGTGACACCCCTGAGACTGCTTCCCTGAGTTACTCTTCAAAACTTGACCGTAAACTAATCCCTTAGGCCACCTTGTAGCTAAATAACAAATTGACTCCAAAAAATAATGATTCTCACCTGTCAGTACTATTCTCCTTTTAAAAACCACCTTGGTGATACCAGTCAACGATGACCATAAGACAACGATGAGCATGTAAGGGGGCAGGGAAACTAGATGAAAGGAAATGGAGCAACCAGAAGGGAAATAATGAGAATGTTTGCACATTGTGAAGAAAGCCAACCATGTCATCAAACAATTGGTGCAGAAATTGTTGAAAGGGAACCTCAACTACTATGTCAGCGGTTCTCAACCTGTGGGTCGTGACCCCTTTGGGAGCCGAGCAACCCTTTCACAGGGGTTGCCTGATTCATAACAGTAGCAACATTACAGTTATGGAGTAGTAACAAAAATAATTTTATGGTTGGGGGGTCACCACAAGATACAGAACTGTATTAAAGGGTTGCATCATTAGGAAGGTTGAGAACCGCTGTACTATGTAAACATCTACTGAAAAAACTATATCTATATAATTGTATCCTGCTCCTGTGGCAGCGTGGCCTGGTGGCAGAGCCTTAGGTGAGTGGGTTTATCCGTTTGGGAGCACAGGAGTGTGCACTTTTGCCAAAGAGCTCGCTTGCCCACAGTCAGGTCTCCCCACCCAGCCTAGCATGCGCTGTCTCTGGAGCTGGCCACGCTACACACAGCTATCTTCTCTCCCGACAGCCACCTCTTCCAAATGGAGTACACACCGTAGGCCCTAAAGAAGGCCCAGGGTGTGCCAGACCGCCCCCACCCCTGGGCGATGCAATCAGCCCTGGCGCCAAGTCCTAGGGGTCTTTCTGGCGAAGGGCTACGTGGACGCTGCCTTGTGGACTGGCGCCCTGGCTCTTCAGCTGGTGAACCAGGCCCTTCGCGGTGTGGTCCAGGCAGGAGCTTACGCTGGTGCGGTGCGCTCAGGGCCTGGATATTTTAAATCCTGAAGAAACGGAGAACCAACCGCGTGGGAGACGCTGGAAAGGAAAAAGCAGGAGGAAGCATCGCGACATGGAGTCTTGCGCGTGTAGTGATTTTGAACTTCAGATCACGGGGTCTGCCGTGGTGTGCAGGCCTCTCCTTCCATCCGTCCAAGCTGAGTGCCAACCATACGCCTCTGGATTTTTCAAATCTTCGCTTCTGTCGATCCATTCAGGAGGCTAACCGCAGTTCCGAACCACCAGTCCCGGCGCTGGAGAAAGAAGAGGCTTCCTACTCCTGTAAGGAGTGAGTCTGGGAAACCCAGAGGGACCGGTCTATTCTGTCCGATCTGGTCACTGTGAGTCCCATTGATTGGATGGCGTGAGCATGGGGCAGAAGCGCCTCCCACAGGGCAGCCTGGCCTCCACAGACTGCAGCCAGGTGTGAGGCTGAGCCGGGATTAGGGGTGGCGGTGGCGGTGGGGCTGGAGGCTGCTAGAGAAGCAGGGTCGGGCGGCTGGAGCACGGGAGCAGAGCCAGCACCATGCCGCTGCAGGATGACACCCTCCGAGAGGTGTGGGCCTCGGACAGGTTCGGAAACCCCGGTGTCTCCAGCAGCCCTGGGGGTGGGAACCGGTGCAGAGACCAGGTGGGGATATGTAAGCACGAAGGGAGACTGGTTTATCTCTTTGCCACCCTCAGTGGGCATGAGGAGGAAGGCCGGAGCCCCGAGATGCAGAGGCGCCCCAAGCAGGTACTTCGCCCCTTCTTGCAAAGGACGTGGCAGTGCCCCCCACTCAGGGTCGGGGACCCAGGGTGGGGAGAGGCCTTCAGCAGCATGTGTGGATGGGGTTCCCTGTGGGCATGTGGAGACTGGAGGTGTGGAAGGAAGCATTTGGGTCTGGGGACCTTTGGAGGTGGCCATGATGCGGGGAGAGGTCGCCTTTCTACGCTCAGCAGAGGAGGGGGCGCTGCACTTCTACTCCAGATAATCTGCGGTTATTTCTGGCGGCTCAGGGGATTAGAGAGGGATGGGCGGCCCTCCAACAAGCCCCTCCCCTCCCTTCTTACTCTCCCTCTGCCTGAACCCCTCCTCCGCAGCGACCCGTGCCCGGACAGAAGTGGAGGAAGAAGACGGAGGTCCCAGAGGACCCCTGCCCTACCGGATCCAAGCTCCGGAGACCTGGAGGCAAACTAGGGGCTGAACTAGGGGCACCCCAGCCCGGGTCAAGGGACTAGGGAGGGGGGCTGGAGGGCAAGTGAAGGGCGTATGACAGCGAAAGAGGGCAGGAGGCGCAGTGTAGGTGGATGAGCTGAGGACTGCGGAGGCGGGGGGCCTGGGGTGGAGTCAGGTCTGCTCCCCCAAAAGGAGAGCTGGGTCCTGAGGGAGGGGATAGTGAGGGGGCGTGGCCAGTGTCCAAAGATGGAAACCGGGTGGAAGCCCCACCCCACGCCGGAGAGGCGCCCCGACTTGAGACACCTGGAAGGGAGGCCGGGGTCTCTGAATGCCCGTAGAGCCCGTCTGACCCTCGCTTCCCACCTCCCGGCTCAGCGAGCCGGCGGCCACCGCGGCAGGAGCCCACCCCTGACCCAGCCGATGGCCAGGCGCCACCACGCGACCTCTACACCAAGTTCCTCAGGGACCCCGAAGCCAAGAAGCGCGACCCCCAAGAAACGTTCCTAGTATCCCGGGCCCCTGATATGGAGGACGGTGAGGAGGGGGGGGGGGCTGAGGGAACTGGAGGGGTAAGAGGGAGAAGCAGAGAGGAGGGAGGGGGTTGAAGAGGAACCACAGACAGAAAACTAGCGCCGACCAGTCCCCTTTCCTCTGGCCTTGTCTCTGTGCCAGAAAAAACAAAAACTGGATTCTCTTGGTAAGTTCGCTTTTTCTTCCCATTTTGCAAAGGGGAAACTGGGGCATGCAGAAAGTAGTTAAGGGTTTGCCCTTAGACTACAGCCAGGAGCCAGAGGTAGCCTTGAGGGGTCATCAGAAGCAGATAGACAGACAGACAAGGCCAGGGAGAGAGGCAGGTGAAGTTGGAGGGGAGGCACAGGAGAGCAGGTGAAGAGGAGGGGTGAAGGGCCAGAGACAGGAGGGGCCTGCAGAGGAGAGACTTTTCCCAGAATGAGATTCCCAAGGCCCAGGATTCCAACTCCAGCTCCCTCTCCTACCTGGGAGAAACCTGAGGACTTCTGGGTCATGCCCATTCTTCCTGGAAGGGTGGGCTCCTGCCTCTGGCACCCTTTGCCATTTCCCAGCAATCGGGAGGGCCTGGAATCCAAGGAGGTACCACCTTAGCCCTGTTTATGAAGGATTTTTTCCTACAGAGGATGATGATGAGGAAGAGGAGGACAACAGGGATGGTGAGGAAGAGCAAGAGGAGAAGAAAGAGAAAGTCCCTCAACCTCCCAAGAAACCTCCTAAAGAGAAGGCTTCAGCAGATGCCAAAGAGAGAAGGACCAAGAGCCAGGGTCCAAGGGGTGGGTGTTGAGGGTCAGAGGGAGCTCACAGACATGTACAAACAGACACTGGAAAGTTCCCAGTGTTCACTAGGGAGTTTGTCTCCCTGGTAATATTGTCTCCCTGGTGGTATAGAGGTTATGCTTTGGCCTGCCAACTCCAAGGTCAGCAGTTCAAAACCACCAGCCTTTCCACAGGAGAAAGATGGGGTTTTCTACTCCCGTAAAGGGTTACCATCTCAGAAACCCATGGGGGCTGTTCTACCCTACCCTGGAGGGTCGCTCCGAGTCAGCATTGACTCGAGGGTGGTGCGTTTGCTTGGGTTCTGGTCCTTACGGCTGTAGATCACTATGCACTTGACACACCTTAACCACCCCTTGCCCTGATGCTCTTCGAGGCAGGGAAGGGCAGAGGCGGCTCATTTCTTTGTGATTTGGGTTACTTGTTTTTTAACTGAGTGTGCCTCGTTGGTACAATTCTTATAAAAATATGAAAGTGATCACAGTGCTAACCCAAAGGTTAGCGGTTCAAACCCACCAGCAGCTCCACAGGAGAAAGACCTGACAACCTGCTCCTATAAAGGTTCTAGCCTAGGAAGCTTTAAGGGTAGTTGGACTCTGTCACCTGGGGCTGGGAACATGGGTTTGACACCACCTAATAAGAACAAGAGTGAAAACAGAACAATGAATGAACGCTGGGGCGGCTCCTGGCCACTGGGTACCGGCTCCACAGGAGGAGCTCTGTGCCTCTGAGAGGAGACCGCTAGAGCCGGGAGCTGGCAGTTCAAGTGGAAGGTCTGGGCTCATTCATTCATCCGCTCTTTCATTCAGCAATTGCTTGCTGGACTCTCAGGTTACCCCTTCTCTTTCCCAGGCTCACCAGGCTGCTAATCAAAAGATCCACGGTGTTTGAACCCACCCGGCACCCCTTGGGAAAGAGATGTGGCAGCCCGAGTGCAGAAAGATGGGCACCCTTGGAGGCCCTACGGGCAGTCCCACTCTGTCCTATAGTTGTCACTAGGAGTTAGACGGATTTTGCTTTGTTTTGTGTTTCTTCCTTGGAAGTGGGGGGAGGGGCAGCAGCTCAGGGACCAAGACAAGCCTTCAGCCTCCCTGGGGACTGGAGGAAGGAGGAGTAGGTTGGGAGGTGGCCTCGGTTCCCATGGGTCCCTTCTTTATTTAACACCCCCCACCGGTTTCCAGGGGACCTGGGAAGTCCTGTCCCCCCACAGAAGCCACTTCGCCTGAAGAAGAAGGGGGCCCCCTCTGGGGAAGCAACCAAGATGAGGAAGGTCAAGAAGAAAGGTGAGACTGGTCTGGGGCGGAGCAGGGAGCTCTGGGTGTGGGCGGCGGTGACCCTCTCCCATCCCTCTGTGCAGAGCCCGGTGAGGCGTCTGAGGATGTCTCAGAGAGCCCCGCCGGCGTGAGGAAGAAGACGCCCGCCGCCGCCATGTTTCTGGTGGGAGAAGGGGGCCCAGCTGCAAAGGCTTGGAAGAAAAAAGGTAATCATCAGTGACCACTGGTGCCCTAACACTGTGAGGCAGTCCTGGGGTTGGGAAGTTGGGGGGCCCCACACATCATGTGGTGCAATGAAGGGAAAGGGGTGTCATTCAAACGTCAGACGACGTGGGGGCATCTCAACCCCTTTAATAGCTGAGTGGCTGTGGGCAGGTGTTTTAGCCTTGTGAGGCACTGATAAAAATAGCACAGGCTTGCGATGACTGAGCTGAGTCAAAATGTGTCCGATTGTTGGATGTAAAACTGGTGGCCTGCCCTGTAAACTTTCACCCAAATCGCAATAAAATATTTTTGAAGTAATAATACAGACTTGACCCTCTCAAGATTATAAGAAGGTCCAAGTCACACAACGACGGTAAAAGCTCTTTGCAAACCAGAAAATGTGCCACCAGACTTGTTCCCTGCCTTTGTGCCCAGGTGTTCCCAAAGGCCCGGGAGTGAGGAAAGAGGAAGAGGAGGAGGAAGAGCTGGTGACCAAGAACAGCAATCCGAAGGGCAAAGCGAAAGGAAAAGGCAAAAAGGTTGGGATCTGGCGGTGAAGGATCTGCACACACAGAGTGGCCATGGATCTGAAACTCCACTCCACCATAATGAGCACTGCATTCCTGTAGCGCTTACTATGCACTCAGCTTCCGTAACCCCCCTCAGATAGTGTATACACCAGGGAGGGTCTTTCCAAAGGCTCTGGATCCATTGGGAACTTCCCCTCCTACCAGCTAGGCTAACCTGGGCAAGTGACCTAACGTCTCTGATTGAACCTCAGTCTCTTCATCTGTAAAATGAAGATACAAAAGTGGGTGGATGAGAGGATTTAGTGAGTTCAAATTTGCAGTGTTTAGAGCCATGTCTGGTCCACTGGTAGGCTTTGTAAGAATGTTTGTTCAATCTAGATTAAGTAAGGTCCATCAGATGTGGAGGTGCCCTGGTGGCGTAGTGGTTATGTGTAGGGCTGCTCACCACAAGGTCAGCAGTTCAAACCTACCAGCCTCCCTATGAGGGAGATATGAGATTTTCTACTCCTGTAGAGTTACAGGCTCAGAAAGCCACAGAAGCAGTTCTACCTGTCTTCTAGGGGCACTATGAGTTGGCATAGACATGATGGCAGTGAGTTTATCAGAAGTGCCCACCCCATTCATCCTTACTTTTCAGAGGAAAAAAAAATTGAAGTGTGGTTAAAATTTTAAGCAGATGATCAGTGGTAGAGTTAGGATTTGAACCCAGGCTGTCTGGTTTCAGAGCCTGGCCTCTTAGCCACAGATACACAAAATAATAATAAATCACAAAGCTCTCCGAGCCTCCTATAGGACCAGGCTGGCTGGCTGCTAGGAAAGTGTGAGGGGGCGCCAGGGAGGACCCAGCCTCAGACAGCCTCAGCAAACCAAGTGGTAAACTGTCCTGCCTGTCTTGCCTATGTCCCCGCCCCAGCTGGGGCCCTGGCTGATGAACCCCCTGCCCCCACCCAGAAGGAAGAGAGACCCCCATCCCCCCCTGTGGAGGTGGGTGACCCTGGAGAGTTTGTGCTGCGGCCTGCCCCCCAGGGGCGCATAGTGCGCTGCCGGCTGACCCGAGACAAGAAGGGCATGGACCGGGGGCTATATCCCTCCTACTTTCTGCACCTGGACACGGAGAAGAAGGTGGGCACGAATGAGGTGACCAAGGGAGGGAGAGTGGAGGGGCCAGGGCCATGACTGAGGGAGGGTCTACAGAGTTTCCCTTGCCCTTCCTCCACCTCATCTTCCCTACCCATCCGCCCTCACCAGGTGTTCCTCTTAGCTGGCCGGAAACGGAAACGGAGCAAAACAGCCAATTACCTCATCTCCAGTGATCCCACCAATCTGTCCCGAGGAGGGGAGAATTTCATTGGGAAGCTGAGGTGAGGCTGGGCTTCCTGGGGCTGGGTCAGCCAGAGGACCTCAGGCAGGCCTCGATGGGCCCTGTGCGTGGCACGATGCCCGCAGGCTAAACACCTGGGAATGTCCCCTAGCCCTGGGCTGCTCACACTCTCGTGTGCACAGCGCACCTGGGGGCTTGTTAAAAAGCATCAGTGAATCTGCGGTGGGCCTGAGAGTGTGCATTGTGACCAAGCACCACGTGATTCGGACACTGCTGACCCCAAGAACTGCCCTTGGAGTAGGGCATAAACACCATGGGGCGGGGGCGGGGGCTGTTTTGTTCATAGTTGGACACCTGGCACACAGTAACTACTTGGTAGTTACTGAGAGAATGGCATGCATAACGACTTGGCTCTACTGTACCCTAAGGAGCCCTGGTGATACAGTGGTTAGGGCTCATCACCCAAGTGGATGGTTGGTGGTTTGAACCCCCCATCCACTCCAGGAGAGAGAACTGAGGCAGTCTGCTTCTATAAAGATGACTGCCTTGGAAATCATATGCAACTGTCTACGCTGCCCTACAGGGTCACTATGAGTCAAATTGACTAGAATCAGGGGTCCTCAAACTACAGCCCTCGGATCACATGCAGCCCGCGGAGGACATTTATCCGACCCACCGGGTGATTTTGTCCCGTTAGGAATTTGTTCAGTTGTTTGTTTGTTTTTAACTATAGTCCGGTCCTCCAACCAGTCTGAGGGGCAGTGAACTGGCCCCCTGTTTAAAACGTTTGATGACCCCTGGACTAGATGGTAATGGATTGGATGGGGTTGGGTTATTTGGTATCTCAAGGAGCCCTAGTGGTGCTGTGGGTTGTTGGGCTGCTAACCCCCAGTTCAGTGGTTCAAAGCTTCACAGGAGAAAGATGAGGCTGTCGCGGGAGTAAGGGTTCAGTCTCCGAAACCCTACACAGGGTGGCTGTATGGAGAGGAACTCTGCAGCAGTGGTTGGGTTGGCTTCTCTGCACCAAGAAGCCAAGTGGCACCATGGTTCGGCACTCGGCTGCTAACCAAAAGGTTGGTAAGTCAGACCACCCGGTGGCTCCACAGAAGAAAAAGATCTGGTCATTTGCTCCCCAAACAGGCAGGTTTCTAGTCCATTCCAACTCACAGTAACCCTATGAGACAGAATAGAACTGCCCCCAGGGGTTTCCCCGGCTGTAATCTTTATTGAAGCAGACTGCGACATTTTTCTCCCAGGGAGTAGCTGGGTGGTTCAAACCACAGACTTTCACTCGCCCCCAGGGCTCCTTCCATAAAGAAAGACAGCCTTAGAAAGCCCTAGGGGCCCCGTCTACCATGTCACAGGGGGCACTAAGACCCAGAAATGGCACAGCTCTAAGTCACATTCAAATAGTCACTCGCCTAATCCTCTTAGCAACCAAAGGGGGTAGGTCCTATTATTATGCAGGTTCCAAGAGGCTGACTAACTTGCCTGAGGTCACCTAGCTAGTCAGAGAGGGACGGAATGTGCATGAGTGCTCCCCAGTCTCCTTCCAGACCCAGAGTTTTAAAAAGCTTTCCAAACATCAGGGGGCATGGATGGCTCTGTCCCACGTCATCCCCACCTTTGACAAAGGAAGTTATCAGAGCCACGTGGCGGTGAGGAAAGGTCTTGGGACCAAACTCACTGCCATCGAGTCCATTTCTACTCATCCCGACACCATAGAACAGAGTAGAACTCTGAGTTTCCGAAACTTTGAGCTTCACGGGATCGAAGAGCCTCCTCTTTCTCCAGTGGAGCGCCTGGTAGATTCAAACCACTGACCAGGCAGTTAGGAGTTCGGATTTCAAAGCGTAGCCACTACGCTACCAGGGCGCCTTCGGTCTTGGATCAGACGCGCGGAACCCGCGTTCAGCCCCATCCTGGTTGCAGGTCCAACCTCCTGGGAAACCGCTTCACCGTCTTTGACAACGGGCACAACCCGCACCGTGGAGGCGGCGGCGGGGACGTGGGGAGCCTGCGCCAGGAGCTGGCGGCGGTGATCTATGTGAGAACCACCCCCAGCCCCGCCCCCGGGCCAGGTCCCTCCTCTTGCAAGGCTGGCCTCACAGGCGTCTCCCTCCTAGGAAACCAACGTGCTGGGCTTCCGCGGCCCCAGGCGCATGACAGTCCTCATTCCAGGCATGAGTTCTGACAGCGAGAGAGTTCCCATCCGGCCCCGAAACGTAAGCGCCATCCCGACTTGATCCCAGTCCCTGACGTCCCAAACCCGGAGGGCTTAGTTTGCCCCAATACCCAATCACCTGCAGCCAGAGTTGATATTCCCAGGGATTCTTACTGCGACCTGATGCATGAATTCCGGGCTTTATGTCGCTGAATTCATTGAGCCAACCACAGCACGGTTTTTGCAGTTTGTGTCAAATCATTCATTCCTGCATTTGGTCAGCACGCATTATGGAGCGGTAAGTACTAGTCTCGCACTCGGAAGACATCCGTGGGCCAAAAGAGATTTCTGCCCTGGAGGAGCTGGCATTGCAGTTGAGGGAGACAGTAGACAATTATCGTGCTAAGACAACAAATGATGGCATGTGTTAGTGGTGCACTAATGAAAAAAGAAACATGGGGGATGGGAAGTGTATCGGTATATACTTTTCCGTGTCAAACACAGTAGTCGGAGTGGGCCACACAGAGAAGGTGAGGTTTGCTAAGGTCGGGAAGGAGGTGAAGGAGAGGGCCTGCAGGTATCTGGAGAAGGGCAGCCAGGCAGAGGGACCAGCCTGTGCAGAGGCTGCCTGGTGGGCTTGAGAGATGGTGAGGCAGCCAGCCGGAATGAGACAGGTCAGTAAAATCAGGGAAAGGGGGTGACCAGGCTCTTGGTTAAAACTGTGAGAAACGGGGAGCTATGATACAGTTCAGACGCAGCATAACTTCCAGACTAAGGTAAACTAAGGTAAAGTACTTCCAACCAATGGGATCCCCACGGCTCATGAAGGTCTGCCAGCAGGACCAGGCAACATTTCATTCCACTGCACATGGGGTCCCCATGAGCTGGGGGCTGCCTTGCTGGCAGCTCACGACAACTAGCTGGATTTTGAGCAAAGAAGTGACACAATTTGACTTCAGTTCTTCAAAGTTGCTAGATGTTTGTTTTGTGCACGTGGAGGCGGGGTGGGGGAGGAGGGGAGCTTGTAGTGCAGCAGCAGTTGAGGTGCTTGGATGCGAACTACGAAGTCTGTGGTTCCTTCCCACCAGCCAGTCCACAGGAGAACGACTGACCATCTGCTTCTGTAGACAGCAGACTTGGAAACTCCCTGGGGCAGTTCTACCCTGTCCTGTGGAGCCCGTGTGTTAGAATGGACTAGGCCACTGTGGGGTTGGTCTCTTGGGTGTGTGTATGTAGCTGTAAGGTCAAAAGGAGAGCTGTCCTGAAAGAGGTGACTTCCAGCAGGATGTCAGCACTGCAGGTCTGGTCAGCCAGCATGACAGCAACCCAATGGCTTACCTGTCCATGCTCACAGGAGACCCACGTCACGGCACTAATTTACAGTGAAACATCTCCTTGTCAGAGGATCACACATCTCTCCCTGCTTGAAAGTCACGCCATAATCAGAGACCCAGCTGGGCCCTTAAATGGGCAGGCCAAGCATCCACTTCCTTGCCCTCTGCTTTGGCCTCCCACAGACCATGACATGAAGTCCCCTCTTGACACACGCCCATCCCACCCATACCTGGAGCCAACACCCAAATCTTCCAGAGGCGGTGCCTCCCACTCTTGCTTGAGTTTTAGAAGAACTGCCCAGTGCTACTTGGGGTCCTCTCCACCCATTTCTTCATTCAGTGCCCAAAGCCAAACCCACTGCCCTCAAGTCAGCTCTAACTCAGAGACCCTATAGACCAGCGGTTCTCAACCTGTGGGTCACAACCCCTTTGGGGAGTTGAACCACCCTTTCACAGGGGTCACCTGATTCATAACAGTAGCAAAATTACAGTGATGAAATAGCAAAGAAAATCATCTTGTGGTTGGGGGGTCACCACCACATGAGGAACTGCATTAAAGGGTTGCCGCATTAGGAAGGTTCAGAACCACTGCTATGGACAGTTTCCAAGATGGCATATCTTTACAGAGGCAGACAGCCACATCTTTCTCCCAACATGCAACTGGTGGGTTTGAACCACCAATCTTGTGGCTAACAGCTCAATGGCTGCTGGCTCAGTTGGGAGAATTCTCACCTCCCCTGAAGGAGACCTGAACTTGGTTCTTGGCCCATGGACTTCATGAGCAGCCACCACGGTTCTATCAGCAGAAGCTTGCATGCTACTATGATGTAGAAACAGATTTCGATGGAACTTCCAGACTAGGAAGAAGGTCCTGGCGGTTATTTTGCATAGCCACTGAAAACCCTCTGGACTACAGTGGTTCCATCTGCCATGGATCCTGGGAAAGATCCGTTGTGTCGGGGGCCATGGCATCTAATGACATAGTCACTTGTTAGAAATATACCCTGTGCCCGGCACTGAAGAGCCACAATCAACCCAACCGGTTATCATTAAAATAATATCTGACATTGACTGAGCCCCTACTCTGGGCAAGGAGGTACTCTAAATAAGAGCTGTGTGCTATTATTTAATCTTCACAGCACTCCATTGTGAGGGATAGAGAGATCAGAATAAAGCACTGTCCCTGCCCTCAGCATGCTGAATTGTTGATTATAACGCAGTGGGCATGAGCAAGGTGTTACAAGAACTCAGAGCTGGGGTCAGGAAGGTGATCCTGATGGAACCACTCCAAGCTATGAACTCAAGCGGGTGACTAGGAAACTCGAGAGATTTCAAAGTGCCATCATGCAGACCCTACTCCCTCCTCTCAGAAGCTCCTGCAAGAACACTTTACTTAGCCCACTATTTACCTGTCCATCTCTCAGCTCAATGTCGAGCTCTTTGGCACATCTTAGAATATGTGCTATGGGTGCCAGCATTCAGCCGTTTCCCATGGCTCCTTGAGTATCAGGGCCCCAGAGCACTACCTTGGGCCAGAAGCCATTTACATGGTACGGCCAAGCTTCCATTTCCTCACCCCCCACTTTGACGTCCACAGCCATAACGCCCCATCATCACAGATGTCCATCCCACCCATAAGGGCACCCTGGAGAGTCAGCATGCTCTCAACAACACCCTGAGTGGGCGTAAATGTGCAGGCTGCATGCTCACATGCTCACAAGGGCAGGAACAGACCCACAGGGCAGCTTCCCCCAGTGGCCCCTGGGTCTTGTCATCCCTAACTGCCCTCTCCCTATCCACTTGCTGGGGGGCCCAGGCCAGCGACGGGCTGCTGGTGCGCTGGCAGAATAAGACACTGGAGAGCCTCATTGAGCTGCACAACAAACCGCCTATCTGGAACGAGGACAGTGGCTCCTACACCCTGAACTTCCAAGGTCGGGTCACCCAGGCCTCGGTCAAGAACTTCCAGATTGTCCACGCTGATGACTGTGAGTATCTGAGGGCCCAGCCCAGGCTCTTCACCCCTTCTCCAAGGCCCTGCCACTCAGGCCTCCCTACCACCTGCCACTCCCCCCACCCATCCCCAAACACAAGCCTAATGAAGTCCTGAAACTTCCAGTAAGGTCACCCTCCTCTGGTATGTTGGTACTGTGCTCCCAGGAGCCTCAGATATTCTAAGGTGGTCTCTTCTGGCTAAGACTGTGTTGAAGAAAGGGTTGAGCTGCTAAAGTCTGGAAACCACTAATACCCAACTCCTTTGTGGTCAATGGTAGTGTAGTGGGTTAAGTGTTGGGCTGCTAACTGCAAGGTTAGCAGTTCAAACCCACCAGCCTTTCCAAGGGAGAAAGATTTGGTTGTCTGCTCCCATCAAGATGCACAGTCTCAGAAACCCTCTGTAAGATACGCCAGGAGTGGGAATTGACTAGATGGCGATAGGCTTTGTTTTTGTTTCTGAGGGGGCAGGCCTTTGCCCCACATCCCTATTAGCTTCTCAAGGCACTATAAACACAAAAACCCTCCCCGCCATCGAGTCAATTCTGACTCACAGCAACCCTATAGGCAGAGCAGAACTGCCTCTGTAGGTTTCCAAGACTGTACCTCGTTATGGGAGTAGAAAGCCTCATATTCTTCCCATGGAGCGGTTGATGGGCTCAAACTGCTGACCTGGTGGTTCACAAACATACCCTTCCCTGTCTAAAATGTGCTTTCTGTGCCAGGCACTGTTCTGAGAACTTCAGAGATAGTGAATCATTCAATCAAGTTAGAAGGGTTTGGACTAGAACCTAGGTAGTTTGGCTCTATTGCCTGAACTCAACTTCTTTATGATGGCTGCCTTTTAGGAACAAGCATTTCTGAGTACTCCTCCTTCCTTTACTCCACTCCGACTGCCATCAAGGGGATTCTGACTCATGGCGACCCTGGGTAGGGTTTCACCCTGTAAGATGAACAGATAGCCTCATCTTTCTCCCAAGGAGTGGATTTCAGCTCCCAACCTTGTGGTCAGCAACCCAGTGCACCACCAGGGTTCTTTGAAGTCAAACCAAGCCCACTGATCACCAAGTTCATTTTGGCTCATAGTGACCCTATAGAACTGCCCCTTTGGGTTTCTAAGACTTGAAAAAACAACAATTGAACAGGAGTAGAAAGCCTTTCTCCAAGAGACTGGTTGGGTTCCAACCATTAAAGAAACACTTGTACCTGGAGGACAATCAAGTAAAAATGTCCCTGTTTCCAAGCCTGGAGGAGAGGGCCCTACTGTGGGGAGGAAGTTTGGAGATGGCTCTCTCTCAAGGGACTCCAGAGTTGGGCTAATACTAAGTCCCCACCCCCCACTCCATTCTAGGGCTGTTCCCCCCACCCCCCTTGTCACCTGTCCAGTGGCCTTGGAAAATTGCTCTCCAGATCACGTGTCTGGTAGAGCCCGGTCTGCAGAGGTTGGGGGTATTTTTAGCAGCTTCCTGTCTCTATGGATCCTGGGGGAGGTGTTGGGATGAGGCTGGGAACCAGGCGCTAGAAATGAGGTGGGAACTGAGAGTGGGTAGTAGCTGGAGAACTGGAGAGCGAATCAGAAAACTGAGCTTTGTGGCGATCTCTTGGGACTTGGGGACTGGGAATGGGAAGGAATAGAACCCGAAGGCAACAGACAAACTGGAAAGGAAGGATTCTGGGCTTGGGGAAGGTTGACAGGTCCCTACACTAGATTAAGGACCTGCAGTTCCCTGGGTGGCCCACAGATTAAGCTGTGTCCTTGTCTCTTCGGGGGTTTCCAGTCCGCAGGATGGTAACGCCGAAGATGGGGCCAATTAGGGAAATAGGTGGAAGGTTAGTCACTTAAACAGTGGCCGAGGTTTGGGGTCCCAAGACAAAGGAAAAAACTGCCAATGTTGAGAGCACAGGGCCCCACCCTGCCTGTACCTACAGCTGACTACATCGTGCTTCAGTTCGGCCGAGTGGCGGAGGACACCTTCACCCTGGACTACCGGTATCCGCTGTGTGCCCTGCAGGCCTTCGCCATCGCCCTCTCCAGTTTCGATGGGAAGCTGGCCTGCGAGTGACCCCAGTATCCCCTCAGTGCCCGCCCGCGTAGGGGAAAGAAAAGAATTCAGTGGGGTCCCTTCTACCAAAGGCCCCCCACGGGAGACTCCTCCGACCCTCACTGCCTCCCGGTGACCTTCGTCCACTCCCCAGCCTGGCACGGGGCGAGGCGGAGGAGGAGCGCGGACCGCACGGAGATGAAGAACATCTGGAGTTGGAGTTGCACATCTGGTCGCGGAGTTCGCCTGCCCCGCCCCTCCCCCTCCTTCACGGCGTCCCAGTCACTTCCTGTCCGGGAGCAGTAGTCGGTGTTGTTTTAACCCCCTGAGGACCGAGTTAGGGGTCCGTGGGCAAGGGGCGGGCTCAGGGAGGTAGGTGATGGGGAATTCAGGCGGAGTACCCACATCCCCAATAAAGCCCGGTAAGCTCAGCAGAGCTGTGCTTCTTCGAGCGGCCGCGGGGAGAGGCTGCAGAAGGGTCCGGCGAGGGAGGGGTTCGAAGGGCAGGCTGCACGCGGCCCCCCGAGGTCCCACCCAGGCCCGAGGCACTCCCGGGTCCCCTCCCCCGTGCCCTCGGCGGGTCCTACCGAAACTCGGCGGGCGCGCAG